GATGAGGGTGACTGGCCTGTCCCGTGACACTGGAGCTGCCGAGGGCTCTGCCCTATTCACAAAGGCAAGAGAAGTATTTCTCTTCAAAGTGTCACTGATGCCAAATAACTCGGGAAAAAGCAAGTCCCAATCAGCCAGACCCTTACTCAGTATTCTATACAGGATTAAGCAATTCAAACAATTTAAAATGTTATTGCGTCAAATTTGAGGCCGCTTTCGAGAAGCATGACACAAGTGAAACTGCATGTTAAATTCATAAGCACAAAACTGAGAGAGGCAGCAAGACCCTTGCATCCCACTGTAGGTTTAAATTAAATGATAAGCGGCTCCTGTAGAAACCCTGCTGTGCTTCTGGGATCACGAACATCTCATAATAACAAAAACCATGTTGAGAAGTGTTCCACGAGTCGCCCACTGAGGCACAGATTCTGAAGTTCACAGATAAAAAGCAGCAGAGCCGGGCCCACGGGCCTGGACCACAAGTGTGTCTGCTCGTTAGGACGAGAGGAGGACCCAGTCCCGGGAAGAGCCTCGCTCCTTAGATGCGTGGGGTTAAGAGAATTCAAACGTGTGCGCCGCCCACCCCCCAACCGCGGAGACAAGATGGTTGCTTACACTTGGCAAGAATCCACCGCAGGCCCCTGTCCTCAGAGCCCACCCTAAAGTGATGTCCACCCTAAAGAAGGACATCTCTCTCCAGAGTGAAACACCGTCCTGTTCTTGAACCACAGGCACGAGGAGAAGGCCCAGGGCCTCCTGGACGACACGCTGAGGCAAACGATCTACCTTTTAGTAGGTGGTGTCCCTGTGTGGAGCTCAAAGTAAGATGAGGAAATGGAAGAAGAGAAATGCAGAGCAGGGGAGTGGGGGTGGACGATGAAAGGGATGAACAAAGGGGGAATTCTGGGGAAGCTCAAAGGCCCGGCCCCCCGTGACGGGGTGGGGGGGGGGCGTGTGATCCATCAAAGCGGGTGGATGGGGTGGACACAGGGTGGGACAGCCACCAGTGGCCTGGGGGTGGGGGGAGCACAGATCATGGGCATCTGCGGGAACTACAAAGTGACCAGAACACGTGAAATGCTGCAAACGCTCCCGAGAAAGAAATATCAGAGACAGAAAGAGAAATGTTTTCAAGTAGCAGCTGAGTGAACCCCTGACAGGGAGAGGGCTGGTTCCCCGCAGCACTCAGAGGTGAAGGGTGACACAAATCAGAAATGGACATGAACAAGAAGAGACAGCAAAAAAGAAAGCCAAGAACAGGCAGATAAACAAACAAAAGAATGCAAGTGTCTGAAAGGCCGACAGACTCTTGAACGGAGCTCTGAGCACCTTGCACGCAAAACGGACAGGTGGACAGACAGACAGAGGGACAGAAAGTGGGTTCACGTCACCAGGGTCCGGGGTTCTTTACGCGGAGGTGAAAGTGCTCTGTCACTGACTGTGACGGTTGTACAGCTCTGTGCGCATCCTAAAATCCACTGAATCGCACACCTGAAGGGCACGAATTGCGCAGTACCTGAATTCTTTCTCAGTAAAGCTGTTACCAAAAAAAGAGGAGGGAATGTATCATCTCGTCTCAAAAAGGAGCCAATTCATGAAAATTTTAGTTAAGTACCCAGAATAAAAGTACTTACTTGGAAAACGCTGGTAAAGCATGTAATTAGACGTGTGCGTTCATAACAGTATTCACGCCCTTCCGCACTTATACACTCACAGTAAACACCTTCCAAACACGCACATGGGCGCCAGGTCCCATCTACGCTAAGGACAGAGGAGTGAAAATAGAGACGTCCCTGCACACGGGGAATACTATCTGCTAAGAGAGAGAGAAATCAGTGCATATGCAAACTCACTATTTCTTCAAGAAAAGGATTTCACTCACAGCGAGGACTTTCCACTAATAACTTACCAGTCAGTATTTACTAATATGCTACTATAGTCAAGAAAGTGGGTTAAGATATATCTAGAAAGCTGTTTTGGCAGAAGTATTTTATAATTAGTGGAAAACTGGAGAAAACATAGATGTCAAACAACAGAGTCTCAGTGACAGTTTGGTACCAGCCACAAGAAGGAATCCTGTGGAATCATTTAAAAAGATGTTGGAGCCTGGAAAACACTGAAGATGTTCATTTGCTATTAAATCCAGTGAAAATCCAGGAGCTACTATGATGCTATTTTTGTATAGAAACAAACAAAAATATATTCTTACATTAAAAAAGTCCAAAACGTTTTGGTACCAAAATGGGTCCTAAACAGTAACAGTGGTCAAGTTTGAATGGTGGAGATGGGAAGTACAGGGATTTCTTATTTTCTCCTTTGTATTCTTCACAGAAGGTTTACTAATTTTCAACAATAAGCACGTATTACGTTCAAAAAACATTTTGTAAATGTTTGCTCCTTTCCTAAAACAGAAGCTACACGAAAAATGCAAATGCATCAAACAGCAATGAACTTAATATTATTCAGAAAGAGCAATGATGAGTCTGCTGGGGCTGATGGTACTGTCTTTTGCAACCCTGTCCCTGGCTCCCGTCCTGTGGACCAGCAGTGAATTTATAAAATCCCTGCAGTGCTGGACCCCCAGGCACGTGGCTGCCAGAGGGTCCAACACCCGCAGCGTTAGCTCCTTACTGACGCTGCCTAACAGTGGCTTCAAAACGATCAGAAATACAGAGCAAAACCTTCAGAAGTCCAGAAACAAAGCAGTAAAAATAATAAAAGGGAATGAGACACACATAATGAAGGAAGTTAAGGGGCTTAGAGAGACGAGAAGAGTACTTAAAAAGGAAGTTTGAGAATGGTCTGTCCCTCTCCGACACGCTGAACTATTTGCTTTGTTTTAGGGAGAGGAGTTGGCCCACGTAGAAGGATGCCCACAGTGCCCATCGCATCTGCGGGTGCCAGGCAGCCCACGGGCGGAGGTCGGACTGCGTGTCCTCCCCAAGGGCCCCTGGGCCCGGAGTTCAAAGCTCCTCGGTTTGCAGACGTGCTCAGTCTCTTGTTTCAGCATTCCTACCACATTCTAGATTGTTACTGCTCTGTAAGCGCCTAAAATAATGATGATAACTGGTTTTGTTTGCTATGGCCCAGATGTGTCCTAGCGCTAACTCATTTAAGCATCAAAACAGTGAAGGAGGTTCTACTGTTATTTCCACTTTATAGACAAGGAAAGTGACCCACAGAGAGCTAAGTGATTTGGCCAAAGATGCACTGAGGCTACTAAGTGATGGACAGGATTTGCACCCGCTGCCAGCAAGTTCACACTGCACTGCTTCTAAAACAAAGTGCTGATGGTTGCTCCATCACGACCACGTGAAATTAAGCAGACCATGCGTGTTATCCTTTCTTTTTCGTTTTTGTAAAATTGATAGACTTAGCAGTTCAGATGCCTAATGAGTTTTGCTTCTATCTCAGAAAGGCATTCAATTAAGTCTCCCAAAGAAAACAGAAAATGTGCATTGCTTGAACAGTCTAGAGGGGGGTAGAGTGTCCCTGGCACCACGATAGGCAAGTTGATTGCAGTCGGCACCAGAGGCACAGCTCAGTGGAGGCCCCGGGCCCTGGGTGTCCTCCTCTTTGGAGAACGTTGAGTTACTGCTTTTCCACCAGCTCAAGGTGAGGACAGAGCTAATGCACTGTATGATAGAATTCGGCTTCTGAAATACCTGACAGGCTCACCAAAGAGGTTAGTAAAAATGAACAAACACAATTTAATAGAAACAAATATACTGCACCTAGATTTTAAAGAGCCAAATAGCTAAAAACCGCAGATCAGGAGAAACCAAGAACAACTGCACCAGTAGAGACTGGGGGAGATGGAGAGATTTTTGTGGACTGAAAATGCAGGGTTGACTGAGAACGTGACGTGGTGCCAGGAAAGGCTAGTGAGTGCTTCGGCCGGATGCACAGAGGTATGGTGTCTGGAGAGGGGAGGGGGATGGGCTCGTGCCACTCTGCACATCACAACCACGGCACAAGCTCTGAAGGGGCAGCCGCGGTGGAGCTGGGGCTGGAAATTTCCTCCCATGAAGGGTTAGGGGCTGGGGAGTATTTAGCCTGAGAAATCATACATACCCATCCACACTCAGACCTATGTAACCCAGAGGCTGGGCACTCGCTGTGGGCCAGAGATTTCCATAAGCCGCCTTGTTTACTCACTTATTGTTCAGTGTTTCCTAGAGTTGGAGGGCTTCTGTGTTAAAGGGATCCTCCACCTAGTTCTGCCGCAGCAGCTACAATATCCATCCCCAGGGGGCAAACGCCCCACCACCCATAACAGGTTCTGCTCAGCCTAGGACAGACTCTGTCCGGAAAACACGGGACGGCCAGCACCAAGAAGCCATCGCCTCCTGGGGGAGAGGTGGCCTTTCAGGGACAGAGAGGTGGCCAGGCCTCTCCGGCTCTGATATTCAGTGAGTGTTTCTATGAAGAAAAAAGCCTTCTTTCCAAGGTTTCGGTGTCCAGGCTCAAGCTGGAGAGGAACACCTTCTTCGTGTAAATGCACGTGGTGAAACAGCCCCTTACAGAGGCCGTCAGGATTCAAGACACACTACACACGCATCTGGCAGTGCCAGCCCGCAAAGCGCAGGCTCTCCTGGTGACCGGCCGAGCGTCTCCAGACTCCTCAAGTGCCCTTCCTCCGGGCTCTCGCGACCGCGCTCACTGGAGAGCCCCTCGCCTGCCCCTTTTCCGCAAGGGCCGCTTCCGCGTGTGGTTATGGAGGGGGCGAGGGTCTCTGCGCCTCTGGAGCCGACCCTGCGTCGGTGGGCCCGGGGCGCAGATCGGGGTCCGCGCCTCGTGCGCCCCCGAGAGTTCGCCCTGAGTGGACACGTCCCTGGGCTCCCGGCCGGACCGCCGCGCCCAGGGGTCCGCTCGCCCTAGGGACCCGCGGCCGGGCGCGAGGGGGCGCCGCGCCACAGCAGCCGGGCGGATCGCCGGGGCCGGGCCGGGCCGGGGGCGGTGCGCGGGGCGGTGCCGGACTCCGCGGGCTGCGGGCTCCAGAGACGCCGCGCTCCTCCTGGAGGAGGCCGCCGGCCCGGCGAGCCGAGCGGCAGCCCGCGGAGTCGGGGGCCCCGAGGTGAAGCTGCGCGCGCGGTGGGGCCGGGGACCCACAGGGGAGGGTCCCGGGGCCGGAACGGGGCCGGGGGCGCGGGCTTCCACACTGGAAGGTGCCGATGCCGGAGCGGGGCGGAAGGGCGCGGGGCTTCTGCAGTGAGGGCTCCGGGCCGGAGCGGGGACAGGAGACGCAGTAGGATCTACACCGGGGGGTCCCGAGGCCAGAGGGGAGACGGCGGGCGGACGCGGCGGGGAGAGAGACCTACGCTGGAGGCTCCCGGGGCCGTAGCGGGGACAGGGTGTCTACACCGTGAGATCCTGGGGCGGGGACGGGAGGCGCGCGGGGGTCTACACCCGAGCGTCTGGGCGGGCCCAGGACAACGGGGGCGCAAGCACCTGTTCCAGAGCGGCGACAGTCGGGCGCGCGCGGTCTCTACTCGGTTGCGCAGGGGGCTGGGGCCAAGGAGATTGCAGGAGGGACATTTAAGCGCCCCTCCCCCACCCCCCGGCCACCGGAGCGGCGGGCGGGGCTGGGCTGGGCGCCGCCCCCGGCCCCCAGTCAGGCTCCAAGTCCCGCGCTGGGCCGGCGCCCGGCCGCAGGCGCGCGCGGGCTCCGCCAGCTTCGTGCGCTTTCATGGAGGTCTGGGCGGCCTTGGCCGGAGCCTGGTTCCAGCTGCCGCCCCGTCTGTCTGTGTCGGATCTGCAGGAGCCCAGGTGAGGGGACGGAGGGGTGGGACAAAGCGGCGTCCGCGACCGGGAGCGGGGCGGTGACCTAAGCGGAGATCGGGGTGGGGGCACCAGAGTGGGATGACCAGGGATCTCCCAGGCACCCTCCCTGGCTGGCTGTGGGCGCACCCGGCTCCGCGAAGAGGGCACGGGACGTGGGCGAGTCCCCGGCGCGCGGGTGCCCTTTCCTCGCCCCTTCCTGCCTGCCCCTGCTGTGCAGAGGGGAACGTCACCCCGTATACACAGCGGTGCGCGCAAGGGTAGCCTTACACACACACACACACACACGCACGCACGCACGCACGCACGGCCGCCCTCCCAGCCTTGCCTTCTCTGGCCCGGGTGCGGAGCCGGGGCGCGGACCTGAACCCAGGAGAGGGTCTGCGAATTCTGCCAGCTAGGATCCCAAGCGTTCCCTGCGCCCTCCCCATCCGAGCCGAGCCCAGGGGTCTCCCACACTCGCCCTCTGAGCCCAGATCGGGCGCCGGGGCTAGGGGGCTCAGAGAGCAGCCCGGGGTCCGGATAGTGGCTCCAGAAATGAGGGGGGCGGGTGCTCAGGGGGTCCTGGGCTTCGGCAGGGATGACAAGGACGTCCAGAAGGGCGAGCTGGGGTCTCTCTGCGCCCCTAATGCTCCCCCAAGCTCCCGAGTCCCTGGGGACCCTGCCGTGTCCCTGCACCCACGCGGGTTTGCTCTCCAGGGGTTTCGGGTGACCGGTGGAGCCCCCTCCCAGCCCGCTGGTCCCAGCAGACTCAGTTTCTGATTTCCGACTCTCTGGGCAGGGCTCTGATCGTGGGCTGTGTCTCCTTTTGTCACGGTTTGTCACCTCATCCGAAACTCCAGCCCAGAGCTGGGTTTGGCCTCGGTGGATTCTACTTGGCCTTTGGAATTCCCTGCCTGGGCCTCCCCTTCTCCTCCCTCTCGCTGGGCTGCAAAGATGCCAGTTTCCTGAGTCCTGTACTCAAGGCCAAGATTTGGAGCCAGTGGCAATGACCCCGCTGGGAGGTGGCCTCGCGGAGGCGGCGGTGGCAGCTGGTTTGCCCCCACTCGTTCCCCGGGGCAGCTGCCGAGGGGGTCAGTTAGGAGAACCCCCAATGTCTCCCTGTCCACCAGGGGTGAGAGCACAGAGACCCTCCGTCTCTGCGGCGACCTCCAGGGCGATCCCACAACCCAGGCAGTTTAAGCAGAGGAGGGCGCCGTCCTTCCCCCACCCCTAATCTCTAGATGGTGCGGTGTATACAGCAGGCCTCCCGAGGCTTCACCGCATCTATGACTCCCCGTTAGTCAATGGATGGACTCATTCTGGCTTCCCTTAAACTGAATGCGGGGGGAGCGTGGTGGCTCATTTGGGGCTGGAATCCCCTTGCTGTGGATCCCCGTTGCTTACCAGCCACACACACACTAAGGATTACACAGTATTGCCAATGAAACACTAGTATATCTGCACCTTCACTGGGGATAAGTTAGGAGAAAACTCCCAGACCCCTTCCAAGGCCAGTGCCAAGTGTCTTGATCCTTTTCATCTTACAATTTGTGTATTTCCACTTTGCAAAAGTTTTTTTTTAATACCTTGAGATTTCCATAATTTAAGGAAACAATTGGATGTTTTTGTAGGCATGAGAGAAAAGGAGGGACACGAGTTCTTGCCAGGCACTGAGGCCTGCGCACGCCAGATGCTCAGAAAATATGTGCTGGTTGATTCATTGTTTGAGTTTAATTAAGAGTTTCTACCCAGGGTATGGCTGGGACCTACACTATCTTAATTACAGGTGTGTGTGCGATGATTAATAGGTTGTGTGGAACACATGGGTTGGTAGGAAATGATAACATGTTGGGTTTTGCCCTGGCAAAAGCAGGTGGGCTCTGTGTCCCTGGAGGGTTTGACAGCCACGGGTGCAGGCAGCCCCGCTCCTACCCCAGCTCTCCCACCCGGGCACCAGGAGGGCAGGGCGGGCTGAGGGGCGTTTGGAGCGGGGGGCAGCCTCTCAGCTTCCGCGGCAGCGTGGATGCGAGGGGTGGGAGTGAAGGGGAGCAGATGAGGCGGTGCCAGATGTGAGGGCCCAGGGGGTCCGGGGAGAATGGCCACGTGCGTCTGAATATCTGAGCACCATGTCCTAATGGGCAATTTCCCGAGGAACAGGGACATTTTAGGACTGAGACGCAGAGCCCGCACTGCCCACGAGGTCACTCAGGGTCAGACTGAAGAGGGCGTCACTGGGTAGCTCCAGGCCGAGGTGGAGGAGGGTGCCGGGTGAGAGCCGCTCACACCCCAGCACCCTGGCAACCCCTCCCTCGCTGCCCCATGACGGCCTGGAACCTGCAGCATCACCCTCGGAGCTGGTCAGCGCTCAGGCTCTGGCCCCAGCCGGCCTTTCAGTGGGTGATTAGTCTGCACGTCACAGCTGAAAGGGGGTCCGCTTGGGCGTTGAAGAAACAGCCGTGTCATATATACAATGGAATATTACTCAGCCATAAAAAAGAAACGAAATTGAGTTATTTGTAGTGAGGTAGATGGACCTAGAGTCTGTCATACAGAGTGAAGTAAGTCAGAAAGAGAAAAACAAATACCATATGCTAACGCATATATATGGAATCTAAAAAGAAAAAAAAGGCATGAAGAACCTAGGGGTAAGATGTGAATAAAGACACAGACCTACTAGAGAATGGACTTGAGGATACGGGGAGGCGGAAGGGTGAGCTGTGACAAAGTGAGAGAGTGGCATGGACATACAAACACTACCAAATGTAAAATAGATAGCTAGTGGGAAGCAGCCACATAGCACAGGGAGATCAGCTCGGTGCTTTGTGACCACCTAGAGCGGTGGGATAGGGAAGGTGGGAGGGAGACGCCAGAGGGAGGAGATATGGGGACATATGTATATGTATAGCCGATTCACTTTGTTATACAGCAGAAACTAACACACCATTGTAAAGAAATTATACTCCAATAAAAATGTTAAACAAAAAAAAAAGAAAGAAAGAAACAGCCGTGTCTCTGTCACCTCCCAGTGGCTCTCCTGAGAGCTTCAGCACTTCTCAGCCGAAGCAGACGAGACAGAGGCCCGCTCCCCACTCGGCGTCGCACCTGTGGGCAACTGCCAGGTACAGACGGTTACTCGGTGCCCCGTGCCATTAACGCACCCAAGCAGGAACGGGTGCGCGTCGCTGTGAGGCCAGACACACGCGTACTGGGCCTCCTCAATCGTGGCCGCAGGGCAAACGTTTCCGCTGCTGCTGCTTTACCTTTCCTGATCCCTCCCGTGTCAGACCAGAAGGCTGCACTGAACCATGCCAGCACTCTGACTTTCGGGGGAAAACTCGTTTCTGTGAAACAGAGCCGGGCATACATTCACGCAGAATGAAACTCCCAACACTTTAATTTGATTGTCTGTTTAGAAAGAAGACAAATTGAAATGTCACGTATAAATAGTACAGGAGACATTACGTTGTTTTTTAAATTAATGAAGCTAAGAAGCAAGAGCAGACCGCGTACACCGAGGGGCAGACGGCGCCCTGGGCCCCCGACGCCCTCGCTGCTCCCGAGGGGCTCCGGCTGGGCCACGGCCCTCTGCCCCCGCCTCACCCACCCGACACCTGCTCTGTCCGCCCCCCTTGGCCTCCCTCCTCCCTAGACAAGCCTCCTGGGGAGGGGGCAGATAAGCTCCAGTGGTGGCAGAGCCAGAGCCCTGGGCTGCAGTTCCCAGAATTTAATGACCTTCCTGGATATTTTTAACCTTCTCAGATATTTAAACGATGGAGTTTAAACCTCAGATTAGACTTGGGAAGTGTTGGACACATGAAAAGCGAGGCTAGGATTATGGGGCCCAGCAGAGCCTCAGAAACCCTCAGGCTGATATGAATGTTGGGTTTTTACTAAATTCTAGCTTGAAGACGCAGATTTATTTTTGTAAAGGATTAGCCTTTTCCGGTGGGAAAGGCTGTGATCTCCGTGTTTCTGACTCAGCCCTCACCGGCCTGCAGACACCCGGCCCAAACAGGACTCAGGGAGGGTGTGTGTGGACGGAGGGTCTGCCCCCCGCTGGCGTGGCTTCCTGGGGCCTGTGCACTCCCAGCCGGGGGTCTCCACATGCACCCTCACCCCTCCCATCCCCGGAGGGTGCCTGCCTCCGTCCCGGGTTCTGTCCGGGGCTTGGCATGGGGCCTGGGCTTCGGAGCCTCAGCCGGAGTCCAGGTGATTCCCATCACTGGGGCAGTGGGAAGCTGGTGTGTGGGCTCTGACTGGCGTCTTTGTAGCAGGAGTGAAACAGAAAGTACCGGCATGTCACCTATTATGAGTGCAGTTCTCTGTGTTCTGGGTCACAACGTTAAACGGGTTCAAAATAACGGAAAGGCCCTGCCCAGAATGTGTGTCTAGAAGCCGGATCTCCCCGCTGAGTTCAGCGTAGCCGGGCAGCCGAACAGCCAGGCTCACAGCAGAGCGCAGGGCGGCCCGCTGGGGTGGGGCCGGCCCGGGGGGCGGGGGCGCGCCGGCCGGGGGCGCGCCGGCCGGGGGGGGCGGGGCGCTGGCTCAGGCCCCGCCCCTTGCTAAGCAGGCACCTGCCGGCCTCCCTGGTCCCGGAGTCCCACCCGCACAAGGGTACCGCCGCCGGCTCCTGGGGCAGAGTCCCCGTGCGCTGTCTGAGCCCCCGACCTCCAGGCCAAGCTGATTTCAGATCGTCTCCCTGAACAAACAGCGGCCCAACCGAGTCTGGTAACAGCCAGGAAGAGGGTTCCCTTCCTTTCCGGGGGTCGAGGAGGCGTGTAGATTAACATGGGAAAAAGTGCATGACAAGTGTTAAATCCGAATGTTTTATGTAACATCATAGCAATTAATGCAATGGAGTGTAACGCTTCAGTGAAATAAAACGCATTAAAAATTAATGCCCGCTATGTAGATTAGCTACTTAGTCTTGGGAAGGGAACGGCCTTGCTTCTCAGCCTCTGATGTTTGATTGTGGTGCTGTGCTGTTGTGAGGCCCCTTTCTGGAG